CGCTTTGGCCAGTGCATAAAAGTGCTATATAAATACAGTCTATTTACATCAAGACCTTGGTTGAGGTTAATGTGGAAAGTCGGTCATTTTAATCATGATATTTAACCAGTTTCACCTCAGACGACTACAACTCCATCATCAGGCTTCAGACACAACATTATTTATTTCTCACTGCTGATGTGACTCATTCGTTGCCAGAGCTAATAACCAAGCAGACACATCAGCCTTTGTGTCTCCGATAAAGGTCTCACTGAACCACGTCAGTCAAGACTTCTCTTGTAGTGACAAACCCACAGAAACTCACCTCTGGCTCTGTTCCTCTGAGCTCAGTGACGAGGCTGGTCCTGCACCTTCAACACATCCACTGAAGAGTGAGACAACAAGTCATTAACACAAATACCACGTTCTTTAATCACAATGAACATCATGATTATGAACATCAGTCTTCAGGAAAACAGTTACATATGAAATTGCATTAAGAGTTTTAAGTGTTGATGTAAAAATGAGGAACTTTAATATCACAGCCAGGACAGGAGATGGACAGGAACATTACAAAATGAAGATGCTAACTCTGTGCCAAAACTGCTCTCAGTAAAACTGCATATTAAGACTTTCCTTTTTGATAAAGCTTATAGTTAGGGCTGGATCAGGTGACCCTGAGCCTTCCCTTAGTTATGCTGCTATAGGCCTAGGCTGCTGGGGGGCCCCATGATGCTTTGAGTTTCTCTCCTCTCCTTCCCTCTCAAGGTACTGTTCTTAACTGGTTCAGATCTTATCTCACCAATAGAAGTTTTAATATTAATATTGGTACCTGTTTGTCCTTCTCAACTGTACTTACCTGTGGTGTCCCCCAAGGGTCTGTGCTTGGTTCCATTTTGTTCTCTTTGTACATGCTCCCACTGGGATTTGTTGTAAAGAAATATGACCTTTCTTTTCATTGTTATGCTGATGACATTCAGATTTACTTGCCGTTAAAGGCAACAAGAGGGATGCCATTACAGCCATTGTTTGACTGTCTGACAGACTTTAAATCTCGGTTGGCACTTAACTTTTTAAATTGCAATGAAAATAAGACTGAGAGTGTGCTATTTTGTGACCTGGCGAACTTAACTGCTTCTAACCAGGGCCTGGGCCCCCTAGCTCGACACCTGAAGTTGACTGTAAAAAATCTAGGGGTGATGTTTGATGGCGACTTGAGGTTTGACAAGCAAATCAACTCAGTTGTGAAATCTAGCTTCTTCCACCTGAGGCTGTTAAGCAAGGTCAAGCCATTCCTTTCTTTTAATTATTTTGAGATTGCAATCCTTTATCACTTCTAGACTTGATTATTGCAATGCTCTATACATAGATGTTAACCAGTCCTCCCTCACTCATCTCCAAATAAAATGCTGCTGCTCGTGTTTTGACAAGTACTAGGAAATTCAAACATATAACCCCGGTATTTGTTCATATTTTTATATTGACTTATACAATTGTGTGTTATGTAAATAATGTGTCTGTCTTTTAAGTCGAGAGCTGCCGGAAAATTTTTTGTTGTTTTATGCATAATGACAATAAAGATTCTTGACTTGACTTGACCTCTCTTGAATTAGGTCAGTCATTTTAATTGACATTACTTTGTATGAATCTGTTTTCACTTTGGCATTAAATAGGGTGTCTTTGTTTTGTTTTTTGGGTCAAAAAAGCCCACTTATATTGCCATAATTAATTTATACAATCAATAAAAGGGGAAAACATCCAACTGGGTGAATACTTTTTAAATGCATTGTATCTGACATGTCAGTATTAATTTGGCATCCAATAAATCCTGAGAGTTGCAACACGGGGCCTCTGTTTTTCCTGTACATCCCACAGATGCATCACAGGA